CGGGCCTGCGGAGCCCGGCGCCCGGAAACCGCGTGTGGGACTGAGACTCGGATCTGCTTTTTCTGGGAGGAAGCAGGGGGCCGCCTGAAGCTACCCTCCGCTTGACTTCGGGGCCCAGCACCTTCCTCCGACCCTCAGCCCCATCATCCCCCTGTCCCCACAGGCTTGGGCCTGGCTGGGCCCGGGTTCGAGGGCTCCACAGGCGCTTCCCGGCCCTCCCCTCCTTGCTCCTGCCCCCATCGACTCCTTTCTCTCCAGGGACTGGTGGGTCTCCTTGCTAGAGCAAACCGAGGCCCTTCTGGTAAGTACTCCATCTGTCTCTAAACCCCATACCCCTTCCCGCCTCCCTGCTAATGCCCACCTAGCAGGCTGGGCTCCTGGAGGTCACCAGTGACCTCTGTTCTCCAGGCAGAGGCTGTTATAGACCAGCAAGTTTGAACTCTAGAGATGCCCCACACTCCGTGTCAGATTCTATCCGTTTATTGTAGCCGGAGGCTGAGGAGGGGCTAGCGCCCAGAAAGTTTCCTGGGCAGTGGGAAGCGGTTTGATTTCTCCCTTTCAATCATGCTTTCAGTTGGGGAGGGCTCAGGGGAGAGCAAGCAGAATCTTACAGAAGCAGACCAGGCCAGGTGTGTGGGAGGGGCACAAGGAAGTGTCACATACACTAGGTGAGCTGCAAAACATCATGCAACTGCAGGGAGTTTACTGCCAAGCAGGGTGTTGGGAGTTTGGGGAGGGGGAGGCGTTGTTCAAGTGCAAACAGTTTGTTCAATCACAGGTACAAAATGGCATTGAGGCACAAGATGGAGTCGGGTTGGTTATCACATTGGAACCTCGACCTGCCCATGGCCATTGTGCCCTTCAAGTCTTCCCTGCCAGTCCTCGACTATCCAGTGCCCCTCCTGCAACATTCTCCCCCTTCTTCAGTAAGCAGGGGACACATTCTAAGAAAAGTGTCGTTAAGTGATGTGGTGGTTGTGTGAACAGATCACAAATCACAGAATGCAGTTAACACAAACTAGACAGCTATGATGTCACAAGTCTGTATCTTATGGGACCATTACCCACCAAACCACATTATTCAAGGCATCATGATACCGCCTTTTTTCTTTGCCACTGGTGCCTTCTTACTAACCTTTTCCAAGTGGTCTACCCCATCTTCATGAGAACAACTACCACTTTACTCTGAGGAATTTCTAAAACCTGCCTGTCTGGTAGCCCTTGTCCAAGGTCCCTTCCTTTCCCTTGCACACTAAGCCATCCTGGTAAAGCCTTTTGGAGTCTGGCCTTATCAGATTCAAATTACACATGGTTTCCTCAACTGTAAAGTGAAGATAAAAATAGTCTTAGTCTTAAAAAGGTTTTATAAAAATTGAATGAGAGGCCGGGTGTGGTGGCGCATGCCTGTTATCCCAGCACTCAGGAGGCTGAGGCAGGAGGAGCGCTG